GAATTACAGAAGGACAAAGAGAGATACATGTCGGAAAGGCGCGATCCAGAGGGTAAAGATACTAGTGACAAAGATAGTATCAATTGTTCGCAGAAGCTTCCAAAGGTAATTGTATATATTATATTGAAATTAATTTAGCACAATCACCTTAATTGACACATTAATCATATTCATTATTTGTTTAGGGCATTTCACCTTGTCGGCTATATTTATCGTCACCGACTTATCGCATGGTTGGCAAGGGAAAAATGCATAACACTTTGGGAGACTTACTTCACCATAAACCGCTCCCTGCTGGATTTTTGAAAGTATCGGTTCATATTGCGTTAGAGGGGGGTGCGTTGTTGCCTATACCAGATGATGTTTCGGACGCAACAATGGTGGGAGACGCAATAGGATTGTTTGTTGCATGGCCGTCAAATCTCATTTTCATAGATGATGAGGTAGGTTGAACACCATTATGAAGTATTCAAATATTTTACGACCCATACATGAAAGTTATTCTTACATTTACATTTACTTATTTACATGATGATCTTAGACTCCTTCAAAATTCAAATCAAAAGAAAATTGAATTATTATGCGGAAAACCGATTCAGCTGCATCAAAAAAACAGGTACTATTACAGTTACATGATGATCTTATTATACATTAATTACTGAATTTATATTAATTTTAGGTTCATGATCAACAGTTATAACAAGCCAGCAAGGGTAAAATGCCTGAACCTAGCAAGGTGCCCAACAAAAAAATGGGCGAGCCAAAAAAAGCATATGTTCCTCGATTTAGGTTGTGCCTTGAAACATATGTAGGAACAAAAGATGTGGCTGAGGGTGGCATCCGTCAAATACCTATGCAGGAAGGTATTTTTGGTTTTGAATATGCCGAAACAATTGCCAAGGAGGATTTGGACCAAATTTTCCAACATTCTGAATTAGCCATTGGTGTTATGCATTCCTACATAAGGTAGTACTCCGATCAATTTTAATTAAATACTTGAACAAATTATTTGCTCATTTAAATGAATATTCTAATGTTGATTATGTTTTTATTTAAGGTTATTGTATGACAAGATGTTGGTCCCGCATGGTTTGACTTCAAGATTCGCATTCTTATATGCTAACTGTATCAACGCACGGTCAATCGAGCACACTCTAGATATGGTCAGAGATTACATAGTCAAATCATTTATGGCCGCAAATACAAAGAAGTTGTACTTGTTGCCATATAACACTGGTCATGGGTTAGATTTCATTCTAAATTCATTTATTATAATTATTCGTTTTTTTCATTCTATATAACATTTCCGTCTAAATTTTTGTCTTATTTTACAGTGGACACTGGTTGTTGGTCGCGATTAATCCGATGAAAGAAATAGTGTATTATCTGGATTCATTGGATGGCGATCAAACAAAATATCCTGATATGAAGACTATGGTTGATACGTAAGTGATGAGATATACTGTTCTGAATAATTATGTTTATTTATTATGTGAGATTGTTCTAAATATTCGTTTATATTATGTTAGATCTATACAAATATTTCGACCGCAAAGAGAAGCAACGGTGCCAAAAAGGAAGGCTAACAACATTAGCTGGATCAGAGTGCAGGTATATTTTCACAATTTTGACTGTTATAGTGATTCTACTTGATAAAACTATTTAAACTATATATCCTCACACATGATCATTTGTTTTTTCCATTTACAGTGTCCTCGTCAGCGCAATGGGATTGATTGCGGATATTTCGTATTGCGCTTTATGAAGGAAATTATTCACTCGGGTCAAATTGATATTCCAATCATGGTATGGATCAATTCATAAGTTATATGATTTATTTTAATAATTAACCGATATTTCATCTGAGTAATAAGTTTTAAAACTAAATCGTGCATGTTCTGTTATATTATGTAGTACTTTGATGAATTCAAGTGTGATACATACTCGAAAGCAGGATTGGAAGAAATTAAGGAGGAATGGTGTCAATACATTATTGAGTTGAGAATTGTATAAAGTATATGTATCGTCAAATATTGATGTGGTATAATAATATTTCTGGAAGTCGTATCTATGTGTAAAGTTATCGGTTTTGTAATTATATGTAAACTGACTGTATATTTGTGAACTTGTTCTAAGGATCGGATTGTGTTGAATTATATAATGTACTTGTGAAGTATGTGAATTACATAATGTAAATTGACTGTATTTGTGAAGTATGTGAATTACAATGATTATGGCCAAAGTGTTGAATTACAATGTATATATAAGGCCAAAATGTTGAATTAAATACCTGAATTATAAGTAGGGAATGTAATTGTTATAAGCAGGTTTATCGAAAAAAATATAAAAAAGTGATTATTTAAATAAAAAAATTTAAAATCGTGAAGAATAGACAGCGCTTTTACAAAAAAGCGCTGCTATAGGGGAGCATAGAGAGCGCTCAAAAGCGCTGCTATAGGAGGGAGAAGGGGGGAGAATAGGCAACGCTTTTAAAAAGCGCTGCTAAGGGGGGGGGGGGGGGGAATAGGCAGCGCTTCTGAAAGCGCTGCTAAAGAGGGAAAAAAGCGCTGCTAAAAGTGCTTCTAAGGGGGGCCTATAGCAGCGCGTTTTCCATAAAAAAATGTTGCCTTTACCTTTAGCAGCGCCACTTTAGCCAGCGCTTTTAAGTGCTGCTAAAGGGCAATAAAAGCGCTGCTAAAGGTCTTATTTGGCATAGTGTATGCCTATCAACGTTACCACCCATGTTGTAATTAGAAATTTCTTCAACTTGTACATCATCAATAAAATGGGTAAACCATTCATCAAGTCCTAGAGTCTTTCTCCGAAGCCTAAATAGTTCATAACCACAGTCTTTAACCAAGCTAATTGCCTAAAAAAACTCCACTTATCAGAGTCTTGGCCTTGTGCAATGGTTTCACTCCTTCCTCTGTAAAACACTTGCTTGTCTTGCACAAAGTTTCCTCCATGGTGAAATATGACATCGAATAACCCTATTTATGTAAATACACATTTACCCAAAATAAATTTCACAGACAAAACGTACATGTGGGGCCTGATAAAATTTACAGAAATAACGCATTGGGATCCGTAACATTACTAAAAAATGTACCTTTTTGAGACCACCAAAGCTTTTCCTTGTCGCACAACAAGAAGGAACCGGAAAGAACAGCGAACACGTAAACGTTGAAGGAATCAAATAGTCTACAAAAGCTGTGTTTTAGGGTTCAATAATCAGTATTTAATGTTAAACGAGGAAGATCACAATGTTTCAACAGTGAACGATGAACATGGTGTCACGAAGTTCTGGGTTAACAGTGAACACAAAGGGATTAGGTTTTTCAAGGTTTAATGTGAACACGAAGGGATTAGGGATTCCAAGGAAGAAAGGGTTTTGTTTTTCAGTGAAGGGTAGTTTTGTCCAATTACCTATCATTTAACACATGTGGAAAAAAATTAAAATGAAAAAAATCAAACAAACGCTGTCACATCATCGTTTTTGATGAGTTGGCCTGACAAAGATTTAAAGAGAGATATTTTTCAAGTGTTAAGGGAAATCATGCAACTTTTTTTACGGGTTTTTTTTCTTCCGAAAATAGCCAATATGACAGGGGAAAATAGATATTAATCATATTTTTTTGACAAAATTGTGGTTAGTAATGAGATATTAATTTTATATTTTTATTTAAAAGAATAACAAAAAATTAATAAATTACTAATGTCACATCAATAGATTGGGTCAACAGATTCACAGTTTGAAAAGCTTAAATTCGATTTTTGAACAAAATTATACTAGTTGTTACGGGTTGAATTAAATATACTCGTAGATAAATAGGTTCAGATAATTTATAAATTAATTCGATTTAGATCAGCTGATCGATCACACTCATGAACATACCTATTTGATACCCGGTATAAATTGTAAAACTATAATTTAATATGATATATCATGAAAATCCACAAACTCCTTCTTATTTATTGGTCACCATAGTCTTCTCATATTGTGTTGCAAGGTTTATCACCTCCTTTTGAGAATCTTTTGTATCATTTTAATATTTATTTGCAAAATATTCATATTTTTTAAAATTAAAATATCTCAAACACTTTCTCCAAACATAACTTTGATTAATATTAGTTTTATTTTAGAATATAAAAGTTTGAAGTAAAATATAATATAAAAAAAAACAACTAAATTTTTTAGAACAGAGTATCAGTAAAAATTGACAACTCTTTCATATTTAATTAACTCCTAAACTACTTACATTTTTTTTAATTTTATAATAATATAATTGATCGCTTACAAAGGATAATTTAAATAATAAATTAATGTTGATATTAAGATTTCATTATATTTAATGTGATTAACTATTTAAAGAAAATGCACACTTTTGATATTTCTACTCATAAACTATTCCAAAAGAAGTATATCTATTCATAGACAATTAGTTATACTCATATATAAAATATATAAATTGAAAAAAATAATGTTATTATTATCTTTTTAATAATAATAAAATATACAATAAATTTTTAATTTAGCAACAAAGAAACTACTAGTGTTAATTAATTAAACTAATGGAGCAAGTAATGCTTTTTGTCGTTGTCAGCTTCATATCAAATTTTAAAAGTGCCCTTCAAATAATTAACTGACCAGAACAAAAACTAGTTGAAATATATTTAGGAAATTGAAACTAATTAAATTAAGAAACCATGTTATTGTTACAATATTAATTACTCTTTAATTCTAAGATAGTAAAAAAAATGTTAATACATAAAAAAAAAGAAGTTAATATTATATTAGTAGAGGTTTCTTCTTCCAATACCAAACATTCACAGAGCTCTCTCTAACCTCACATCACACCAAGTTCAAACCCAATCTCATTACCGAGCGTTAAAATCACGCCCCAACAGTAGCGCGTGAAACAAAACCACCCGGTGAATGGTGATATCCACCTTGCAAACGCCATAATCCGAAAACGCGAATCGGAGAAACAAAAAGCGCGATGAGCGACCATTCGCGGTTGCAAAACGTGCGTTCTACTGCACAACTTCTCAGAGAAGCAACCTCTTCTTTCTCCTCAAATCTCTTCACATTCCTTTTCCTTTCTCTCTTAATCTTTTCCTTTCGAACCATCGTTGAAAACGGTACCTCGCGTTTCATCACGTTCGTTGACCGCGATCCCGCTGTTAAGGCTCTTCTTTCCCGAATTGACCTTGCCGGTAACGTGAATCATCATCACCGTCAACGTTCCTCCTCCCCTCAGTATCAACCTTCACCCGCCGCACTCCGTCGCCGCCGGCCTTTTTTGCATCTCACTCGTGTTGGAACCCTAGATGATGACTTTTTCTCCGGCGATGATGATGACGGTCGGACTCTGTTTGGATCAAATTCTAAAGCTCCGGTTAATGGTTGCGTTGTTGCTTTCGGACCGTTCGCTGTTGATTCAGGATTCTCGGATCTCGTTGCTGATAATGGTGTTAGGGTTTTGGAAGTGGTTCGTTCGGGAATCACGTTGAGGGTGGAGGATTCTTTGATTGACGTTGAGAAAGAGGAGGATGAAGATGATGAGGATGAGGATGAGAGAGAGGAAAAGAAGAAGGAGAAGAGCGATTTGGGGAATGGAAAACAAGAAATGGTGACAACGGTTGATTTGCAATTGTTTGTGAAGGGATTGGAGATAAATCATCGTGATACTGCGGCGTTCTTTGCTTTGTTGGGTTTGTTATCAGTGGCTTATGGGTGGGTGATTATGGTTTTTCTAGTTACGTATTCGTGTGTATTGGGCGTTGTTATTGTTTCGGTTGTTAATGATCTTTTAGGAAGGTTTAGTTCTGCTACTGGGGTGGTTTGGGATGGGTTCAGATTAGGTATCAAGAGAATTTCTGCGGTTGTTTTGATAAGGTGGGCAGTGAGGGATGCAGTGACTCAGCTTGTGGGGATATGGTATTTTGCTGAAATTGAGGACCAGTTTTCGTTTTTCAAGCTATTTGTTAGGTTGAAATTGATGCCTTTTTCGGTTATGTCGCCTTGGGTTAAGGGTTTTGAGAAGGAAATTTCTGGGTTTTTGTTCACTTGGTTTCTTATGGATACTTTTGTTACTTTTATATTCTCTGTGGATTTCTGGGTTGCTTTGGAGGATTTCAGAAGGGGTAGTAAAGAGATTGTGAAGGAAGGTTGTTATTTGTTGTCTTCCATGTTGTTTCAGGCTATTCAGATTAAATGCTTAGAAGCCTTGCTTTGTGGATCGCTTGTGAGGTGGGGTTTGTCTCGAATTTTCGGGAGAGTCTTAGCCAAGATGTTTCAGTCTACCATGGAGGTTTACTTCATGGTTACGTGGCTTGTGTTCTACTTTGTGGCTAAGTCTAGGGATGCCAATCAACAGGGTAGGAGGTTCGGGCAGAGGGAAATTGAAGGGTTAATTGATGGGCACAGATGATACTTGGCTGTGCTTGCATTGACAGTTTTATCTTGCGGGTTTTTGATTGCGAATGCACAAGCAGCTGCAATGTTTCACAGGTTTATGTCACCTACTTATGCAGTCACTGTTGGCCATCGCCACCATTCTGTAGTTTTGTCATGCCATTAGACGTGTTGAATGTAGTTCGCCTCAAGGCCAAAATGCTTCTTGTGTATATTCTAAATGAGGATACTTCATATGTATATTATTCGTGGAATCATTTAATTAGCTCACAAAAAGTGTTGGTGAATGGTGATGATAGTTTGTAGTCCCAAATTACAAGGTTTGAGAAATGAAGAATGTTGATGATTTTTCTCCATGCAACATGGAGTTATATGTTGCGATGATAATAGTAAACCTATAGCATTTTTGTTTATTTGATGCTGTATTCTATTTGTAAGTACAATTAGTGGCATGAATTGGACGTCATCTACAAGAACAGGGAAATTCACACGAATCTGCAAGAACTGGCAAAATTTGTGAGTTATGCATTTATTTTTCTTGTTATATTGTTGATTAAGATTAAATTAACTTATGTCTGTTTTGCATGATTTCCAGCATCTTTTGCTGATAGCTTTTTATGTTTGCTGTGTGTATTGATATCATCTTGCCTAAATTTCATAAAATAAGTTTTGCAACATGTAGTAACTTTAGCAGAGTTTGAATGAGTGGTAAAAATTCAAGTTGATCACAAAATTTGGGGTATATATCTAAGCGGGGCATTCCAAGGGTTCAAGTTAATTGTTGAAAAGATGTGTTTAGTTCTGTGTTGGTAAATGGCTGGCCATGGTAAATTTTTGATAACCGCCTTAGACAATTGGTGAAGGGATATATGCCATAGGTTGCAATGGCGTGTTTATATGTTGGATTTTTGGTCTTTCACCAGATTCTGACAATATTGGTTTTGTTCTACAAAACTGATGTTTAGCAATCAGTGCTCTCTGTTTTGTGGCTGACATGCTTAAGTTTTGTTATTTCAATGGTTTTTTGGTTTTCAACATGTTTCCCTTTAACTCTATAGATTTGGGGATGAAAAGGGCCCCACTGAACAGATCAGGGATATAAAGATTGTGCAAATGAATCTCGATTGCAGTTTAATAAATAGAAATATGTTCCTAGTGGAGTATATACTACTATTATTGGCCTTGAAATCAATGAAATGAAAGGTAGTATAATATCAGTTTAGATGATTTACTTAAACTGTCTTTTGAGGGTGGTTTCCCCATTCTTTTCAGTGCTTTTAACAATCCCATTGGTAATCGATTTAGATTATGTTTGATGTGATTTTAAATTAGGATTTTCTGTTTTGTATATGGTTTCATTCAATAGGTTCTTTGTGAACCAGGTAATATGATTATATGACTATAGTGAGGCAGGGCAATTGACCATTAATGCAAAAGTAGATATTATAGTATGTGGCAAAAGAGACATACAGTCATACAATTCTGGATTAATTATAAATAGCAATACTGAATTGTATGAACTTAGACAGTTACAAGCCTTAATAAGGATCAATGCCAAACAGAAGCTACGTGTTTCTTTAGCCATATGCCTAATTTATTTATTTATTTTAGAAATGGGGGAAGATATTTATGCTTGGTGGTAGTTTCCCAACAGCACTTATCATATGTCTAGCCAATATTGTCCCTCCCTTTATTAAATGGGCGACAGCATATACCTCTATTAGTCTTGTCTATTAAAGTTGCACCTGCATTTAGATTTTCATTCTTGTAAATGATATTATACTGAGTGTCAAATATAACATTCCTACTTCTCACAAACAGATTGCAGGGATTGCTAGTTCGTAATATACTGCAAGCTCGTTTTTTGGTTCCATTCACCAAACCCTTTCCATGCAGTAGTTTTTTATTTTTTATTTTTTATTGGTTCTTTTCACCAAACCCTTTCTATGCAGTAGATTACTTATTTCCTTAAATAAGCATTTTTTGGCGAGGTGTATGTAAATCAAATAAACTTTCCAACTCTTTTCTTGCATTTTACATAAATTTAAATAAACTTTCCAACCTCCTTGCATTTTCCATTCAACACGCATATGCGACTTGACATACAATGCGCAGGATATTAGTGTGAATCATGCATTTTGTATTAATGACATTTAGTTTATTCAAAAAGGGTTTGTTTGTTTGGTCTAATCGAGAGGATTTTAATGAAGAGCTGAGGAGAGTTTAAAAAAAAATTGAGTTCGGTTGGACAAAAAGAGAAATATTAATAGAGATGTAAAATTATATTTTTGAAAACAAAGGTCCAAGTTCTTAAGAAAACTTAAACAACAATAATCCTAGAGAATTTTTTACCCCATCCCTTGGGGTTTTTAGACACCATATGCGCTTCTAAAAATATCTTTATGTTTTTGGAGATGTATTTTCAGATGCACACTTTTTTTATTCAGCATTAGTTTTTTTTCGGAGTTATATCTACGAAATGTTTTCGTTTATATAGATTCGGAATATATTAGAATACATTCGCGTTAGAGTCCTTTTTCCTTTCTCATTCTTCATTTTTTATCTTTACTCTCAAACTCTCCAAACTCAATTTTCAAAAAATCTTTTTTCACCAAACTTAATTTTTTTCAATCAAGTTTGACAAGGAGTATTCATCTCAACGATCAAGACACTCCAAATCATTCAAAATACGACATAATCGTTACGTTTTTGAGTATTTTTCGTAAACGAGTTAGAATATAGTTTTAGGGGTAGAAATCATTATAGTTTTAGAAACATAGTTTAGAGACAATGTAGGTATTGTTTGTTGGCTGAAACGGACGACCAGGGCTTCGAAAAATCAATTTTCATGGGCAGGAGACGCCATTGTCGTGGCTGTAGGAGTTGCAGAAAGTTCGGGAGCTTCATCTATGGAACAAATTAACGTTAGAGAGCAATTTCGTAGATGCAGCTCCGAAACAAATCAGACGTTGTGAACTCTAGGTACTTTCGTAAATACATCTACGGAAGGTTTTCGTAAGTACATATCCGGAAGTAAAAAAATGTTAATTTTTTTCTTTTTTCTTTTTAAATTTATTTGTATCTAATTGTATTTTCTTGGTTATACCTTGCTGACATTATGGCAGACAGAGACGATAGATTGCGACTTGCACGGGTTTCACAACATGCATTAGTCAGACGCGAGCGGAGTCAGGCCACCGTCATCGAGGCCAATATAGCTGAGGTACACCTTACTGCACAACCTTTTTCATCACATGTCCAAGACACTCCCTCAACCTCGTATCTCATCCCATCATCCACTTCTTCATCCCGGAGGCGTCGAAATTCAGCCGATGGTTCATCATAGGTCGCGTCCTTCCGTAGGCCTCGTCGGGATACTCTTGTTCTTCCTCCTGTCGATGATGTTGATCTCGTGCCACCTCCAAAGGGTGATGATCTACCACAGGAGAATGTTGGTGACGACGACGATGATGAGCCTGAGGGTTTGGTAATAGAGGTAGCATACTGCTAGACATGTCTAGGAAGGAGAGGTAGCATACTGCTAGACATGTCTAGGACGGAGAGGTAGCATTACTCAAATTGTTTCTTTTTTTTCATTGAAAATTTATAATTTGTACCATTGTTTCTTATTAACATTTTTTCTTATTTATGGAAATTTTTAGTCTCGTCCTTCACAGAAGTTCTATAACCATGGGGGGAAGATATTATCTTTGGATCAGCCACAAGAAACTTAGTTTCAGGACGTCCTTGACGCCTCTGGTTTGAAGGATCTTTGTGAGATCAGTTACAGCCTGATCCACAACGGGATGCTGATGGGCTTTGCAGAGCGATTGTTGCACCCCAAAATTTGACCAACAATTATTTATTCATGGAGTGTTTGAAAGTTGATACCTTCATCAGAAAGTTCAAGAAATCCTCAGAGGAATTGGTTGAAACCAGGGTTGTGTGCTTCATAGCTTGAGAGTTGTGGGTGCTCCTCAGATGATTCTGAGACTTTGAGAATGAACTTGATGTTTTGAGAAAGATTATGAGATGTCTTGATAGCCATCATGAAGCCCAGAGAAGTCATTGTGCAAGAGTTCAGAGGATTCAACCATGAATGGTAGAATTAGGGTTTTGACTGGGTCAACCCTAGGATAACTGAAGTTTTGGAGAAGGTTGAGACCCAATCCAAGGGCCATGAGAGCATGGAATGATGCATAGAGATGTTATAAGGATGATTCCTATACCAACTCATCATGATTGAGGAATTTGAGAAGTTTCAAGTCAGGGTTTCCAAGGATTGTCAGTGAAAAACCCTAATTTGACCCCTATCTTCCAGGCAGTTTAGCTCTAGATGTGATTGATATCTCATCTTCCCCACAACATGAATGTTGTAGAGCTTGTTCTTAGCTTTAATTTGAGTGGTGGAAGTCCTTGATAGGAGTTGCAGAGCTCAAGTTATGGTTTTGACAAATTACAGGTCAGCAGAGGTGTGTGAATCTGGGTCCTTGAAAGTCACCCAACTTGCAGACAACTTTTGCCCTAGTAAGATGATTCCTATGATTTCTTGGTCAACATGAATGTTGAAGGGCATCTTCTTAGCTTTCTAGAGAGTACTATAAGTCCTTGATAGGATTTGTAGAACTCAACTTATGGTTTGAACAAGACAGGGGTATTTTGGCCATTTGTCAGTTATAGGTCATTTTAAGCAAAGGCCATATCTCCTATTTCCAAGCCTCAAATGGAAAAACTCAAAACATTAAAGTTGTTCAAAAGGTGATTTTAAGTCTAGAAAGAAGGTCATGAATTGTTGGAAAAGCTCATAGCATGGATTTGCATGATTGGTTAAAAATGAACTAAAAATGGCTTATAAGTTTAAAAAGTTGAAATTGGAAATTGGTTTGGAGGATCTAGGAATCCAAAATAGGTCATCCAATATATCATTTTGATTGGAAACATCATTTTGAGAACAATGGTTCAAATAGAATTTTGATTTGAAGCTTTAAAATGGGACATGCTTTGGAAAATTGAAAC